CTTGCTACGTTGAGTTGAGTTTGAGTTTGCGCTTCCACTTCATGTGGATCGATGACGTGGTCAATATTTGATAGGCTCAATATTTTGTCGCGAATTTTCCATCCCGAAGCAGCAGCAGCTGGACCTGCGACGAGCGACCCGCAGCTCCTAGCTTCTAGGACAGCTCTAAGCTCCAAGCTCCAAGCTCTAAGCTCTAAGCTGCAAGCTCTAAGCTCCAAGCTCTAACCTCCAAGCTCTAAGATCTAAGCACGGAGCTGTAAGCTCACTTACAAGTGTACTGGCTTGGCATTTGCTCTAGACAAAGCGCTGCGCCACACGTCATTAGGAAGGAGGCGAGGAGGAGGCGGCAGCTGCTGCAATGGAACGACCATCGTTGCGAGCGCCAAGATATGGCGGCGTTGTGCAGCACTTCTACGGGCGGCCAGCTGGGATTTGTCTTGGCTTCTGTATGCTGTGTGGAATAGGCAACGGTTTTTAATTTTTCAACCGCGAGCTTTGGACCGAGCATGTCGGCCCCGCCCCCGCCGTCGACCAAGTCGGTCGTCCTCGACCTCGAGCCGGCGCTCGGCCTCGTGGCGCCGCCGCCCGAAACCCTCGGTCTGCTCGTCTGCTCGTCCTCTTCGTATCTCGCTCATGCATGACTAGTCGCGATCCCAATGGACGCCGAGATGAAGAAGCGACGCTCGTCGACCATCAAGCTCCAACCGCGAGGTACGATACATGGCGCAAGGACGCTGTAGCACCACGGTCGCTGTAGCGCCCGTGTCGGGGGCGAAACGGCCCCAGTTTATTCCGCGCCGCCACTCGGGCGTCTCCCGCGTCTCTCGGTATACTAGTACATGCATTGCCATGGCGGCAGTCTGAGGTGGCGTAGGCCGAGCGAGTCGGAACTTGACTTGAGTGACTTGCCAGGCGTGGGGAAGCCGTCATCAAGCCACAACATTGTGCTCAAGATGACCATCCACACGGACGAGGACGTGCGCACGTCGTTCGTCGTGACGCAAGACCCGCGGGGCTGTGGCATTGGGCGCAAGCCCGCCAACGTCGTCAGCATTCCCGCCGACAAGTATATGGCGGACCTCAACCACGCCGTCGTGACGCACGCCGTGCATCCGTTGCATGGACCCGGGTTCTACATTACGAACGGCAACGACGGCACGAACGCCACGTACATCCGCCTGAGCCCCGTGAGCCTCGACGACCACGCGTCCAAGACTCAGTGGCCGCTCTCGCTCGGGTGCCAGTTCCGCGCCGGCAAGTCCGATATTGAAGTCCTCTCGCTCGGCCCATCGTCGCTGCGCCTCAAGGTCCTCTCTGGAAAGCTGGTCGGCAACACGTACGACGTGGACGGGCGTGGCGCGACCATAGGCCGGTCCGCCGACAACACCATCCACACAGGTATATATCTACCTCACTCTGGATGGGACTCATGGCGGGTGGCAGGCGACGGCGAGCTCTCGCGGCGCCACGCGTCCATCTGGTGCGACGCTGTCGACGGACGCTTTTACGTCCACGACGTTGGGTCGACCAACGGCACGTTCATGAAGCTCTGCGGTGCGTACGCAGATCCGTACCGTCTCGAGATTGGCGACCACATTCTCGTCTCCCAAACCTGCTTGTCCGTCAACCGGTATTCCTTTGGCTCCAAGGCGTTGGCTGCAAGTAGTAGTAGGTTTGACTATGGCGTCAACGACAACATGGGCTGCCGAAAGCACATGGAAGACGCGCACTCGCTCATCCAGGTACGCCCATGGCTTGCTTGCGTCGGCCATATCGGGTGTAGGATATGAACATTGCCGCGCTCTCCAAAGCAGGCTATGCCCCGCAGTCCTTCTTTGGTGTTTTTGACGGCCATGGTACGAAAACCACTTCAACAAAAGCTAAACGAATATATATATGTGTCGATAGGTGGCCTCGAAGCCTCGGTCTACCTCCACGACAACCTGCACAAGCACATTATCAGCGAACTCCAAGTAGGCGTCGATGGGTCCTGATCAAGGTCTTAGTCGTGGTAGATGCGGACAGCCGACGCCGATCTCTCCAATGCCGCCGACGTGGACGCTCTCATCGTCGCTGTGCGTTCTCCGCGCGCCGTCTCCATCGCTCATTGCATACTTGTAGAGCCTCACGACGGCCTTTGAACAGACGGACGCGGCGTTTCTCCAGGTTCCATGGACGAAAAAAGTGGATTTTTTTACCATTTTTGAGATAGGAGTCGGACCGACCGCAAGCGGGCAGTACGGCGACAACGGTCTTTATTGCAGGTCGCCGCATGTATGTTGCCAACGTCGGGGACTCGCGCACGGTCCTCAGCCGAAATGGCGTGGCCGTCCGGCTCTCGAACGACCACAAGCCCTCGAGGTCTCGCCGCGTCTACCAAGCGAAGACCACTCTCATGCTGCGTAGACCGGACGAAGCCCAGCGGATTCGAGACACGGGCGGCTTTATCATCCACGGGTACCACCTACCTGCCGTCGCAGTCGACCGAACCTTGACCTGTGCATTGTAGACGCATCATGGGCGAGCTGGCCGTGTCACGTGCCTTTGGCGACTGCGAGTTCAAGACGTACGACACGCATGGCAGCCAGTCGAGTCTGGTATTCTCTACTGCACGCATAAATCTCGTGCTAAGGATAGTAGCGTCTCGAGGACGAGTTTGGCGTCGAGCAGCCGGTCGTGAACCCGAATGAGATCCTGAAAGGGCCATTGGTCATTGCGACGCCCGAAGTGACGACGAGCGACGTCACGGGTACGACCTCATTTGTTTTTTGCTCCTGGCGCCGCATCGACGCAAGTAGACGAGGAAGATTTTTTATTACTGGGCAGCGACGGCCTCTTTGATGTGTTTGAGGACCAAGAAGCCGTCGACTTTGTCACGTACGCGTCTTCTTTTGCCACCAAATTTGACGCTTCTGGTACTAGAACCCAACTGCGCAAAGGCGGTGACGTCCAGCGCACCGTCGAGGTAAGAGACTCTCCATGTACAGCAGCGTAATGCGTCTAGGCGCTCGTCGAGTATGCGATCGGCACACAAGGCTCAAGAGACAATGTCACGGCCATCGTCGTGCTCTTCAAGGACATTGCGGCCATGTAAATAGAACCTCGACTTGTCTTACTTGTAATACAGCAATGAACCACCAATGTACAGTCTTATGGCGGGTCACTGCCCAGCGCGAGGCGACTGAACTTGGTCTGCGTCTCGACGTAGCTGCAGCAGAAGGATGATGGCGATGACGCTTGGTCGATCTCGGGCGGCAGCGATGGCCGCCACTGCTGGCTCGGTGGGCCCGCACGCTTTGGCACGGGCTTGACGATCATGTCGTGCTTGCGCTTCTTGAGCATCGTGGTCGCCAGCTGCACGGGCCGGGGCGACTGCGCGGCCTCGAGGAGGCTCACGACCGGGTTCTGCGGCCGGGCGCTCGGTGTTGCCATCGGCGATAAGAACGCGAGGCGCAGCTCGTCGTCGTCGTCGTCAGCGTCGTCGCCCAACGGTGCAGCGCGCTTCATCGCGGCCGTCATCGGTCTATTTCTGAGCTTGCACATGGCTGCGTGTCCGGATAAAAGACGGATTGTCCGGATACGCTCGCAACCTTTCTGAAAGTGTATCTTTTTCCCCGTGTTTTGGTTTTCGTAGCCGACAAATCCCGCGCCCGATCCAGCTACTCAGGAGTTCACATAGTGGGATCTCGACCTCTACGAGAGCACCCGCGTGGGCAGGCGAGCGATACTATCGAGACACGCATGCGATGCTGAGAAGCGTGCTGAACGCTTATGCGGGCTGAACGTTCGGCACAGATCGCGGCAGGAATGTACTACAGGAACAGGCGTATTCGACGTTCTTAGCTCTTGAGAATCGCGTCCAGTGAAATGCAGTGCAGTGCATTGGTCGTGGCTTCCGTCACATACATCTTGTGGGTGCCCCTAGTCGTATCAGCGGGTAAAGAGAAGCTATAGACATCAAATGGTTGCAGTACGCACTCGACACAGAGCCCCGTGATCTCTTGGCCTGGCACTTCGAGCACGTGCTCCAGCGTGCCTTGCGCCGAGAGCACGTAGATGCGCCCATTTGCAGCGTCCGCGCCTTCGTACGATCAATCTTAAGCGACTCCAGCGAGCAAGAAACGCTCTACCCGCCATGTCGTAGGACCCGACGTAGACGCGGCCGGCGGTGTCGCACGCGATGCAAGACGGGCCGAGGCCGCCGGCAAACTGGTAAAACACCGACATGTGGTAGATGCCGGGCGGGCGCTGGACGAAGCGCAAGACGCGGTTGGCCATCATCTCGGCCACGTAGCTAGCACCACTTGAATACATGCCACAATATATATCCAATGGCCTACACGAGCTTCGAATCGGGCGAGACGGCGACGGCGCACGGGTGGGCGAGGCAGTCGAGCGCCAATGGCTTGAGAATTTGGCCGCCGCTCGGGTTCGCGGCGATGCAAAAGACGCTGCCGCGTGGGTTCTCGAGCGTCGTCTCGCCGAGCGGCCCGCTGTCGGTAAAGTACGTCGTCGTGTTGGCCGGCGAAATCGCGATGCTGCTGGGGCCCTACGACTCGGATCGCGCACGCTCCTTTACAGAGCCGTGCAGCGTACGCGGAAGGGCTTCTCCTCGTAGACCTTGACGACGATGCCGGGCTGGTGGCTGTGGTTGGCGAGGTCGACGCGCAGGATCGCAGCGTGCGCGCAGTCGGCGATGTGCACCTTGCCGTGCGCGTCAAAGACCGCGCCGTACGGCTCGCCGCCTGTGTACGCGAGGGCCGAGTGCTTCCCCTCCGAGTAGGCAAAGACTTCGCCTGTCCCGGATGAGACGTATCCGATGACCTCCTTTCCGTTGATCTCGCGGGTGAACGGGCTGCAGATCTTGGTGCCCTTGCAGCGTAGCGTCTCCTGGAGGTAGCTGCCCATCGACGATTTCGTGGCCGTTTCGTCGGTGCCATATCTTGCGAGCGAACGCTTAGCACAGAAAGGCGGAACGTTGTTGAGACGCTGCAGCCAAACCTAACCACCATCCCGTCCGAATACCTCACAGAGTCCGTCAAGCCGCTGCAGACCGCCTCACGACGCAAGGTCCAAATGTTGCATTTTGTTACCAAGGCGAAGTCGTTGTCCCGGCGTTTGGACCCAGCTGACACGGTGCTTTCCGCCGACTTTCAAGCTCCACACAAAGCCACGGGCACAGTTGCTTTTAAGGCGTCGACGGGTGCGGCTGCAGAGCTGCCCAAAGAGGACAACCAAATCGACGACCCCCACAGGGGAGTGTCAAGGCTTCGTTTACCGACGAGCATCCCTTCAACCTGCGCACGCGTGGGCTAGAGCCGTGTTGCAACGCGTGTGCGCTCTTCCAGCATAACGCGCCATGCGAGGCCAAAGACGCTCGAGGTCATTAAACACAAGAAGGATAATGTTTTCAACGACGCGACGAGCTACGGCTACTGCTGCTTGGCTTGGGGAATGTGGTTGGGCGCGTCGGCAAAGTACGTTTGGAGAATGTACGCGCGCGAGAGGAGCGGTTCAATGTCGTCTTCTTCCCACTCTTTGGTCGGGAGGCTCTGGAGAAAGAGCACGAGGTCCTGAAACTCCATTTCCTTGAGCATGTCGCCAAAGGTCATGAGAATGGCCGCGCAGACGTAGACGTGGAAGTTCTCAAAGCCATTGTCCTCGCATAAATACGTGTCCCAGAGCCGAATGATCGCGTGCAGTGGGCACTCGCGCATGAGGAGGCAGTTCATCCAGCGGAACGCAAACTGCACAAACTGCACCGACTCGGTCTCGACAATGTGCGTGTACAAGTCAGCGTCGCAGCGCTTGACGAGGTCTTCCATGCGCTGCACCATGCGCTGCAAGCCCGGCTGTGAAAACGTATAGTGGTCCTACAAGAAGAATAAGTGCAAGAATACTGGTAGCTCGCAACCTGGATGTCGTCGAGAAGCTTGGTGAGGCACCAGTAGCTGTCGGCCTCGACCTCCTGGAGTGTTTCGTCCGAGACACCGCTCAAGTCGCTTCGCTCCGGGTCGTCTACGGTGCCACGTCATGTAAAATGGCAAAATACGACGCAAAATAAGAAATATACCGACAAAGCTCGAGAGAAAGACCGTCACGAACGGCGTCAAGAGGTCATTGATGCCTTGGACGTACCCGGACGCAGGATGGCGAACCGCCCAAATGTACAGGACGCGCTCCATGCTCTACGCTCAAAGTTGAGATCGGTCCTCGCTGGAATGTCGGTCGATGGTACCTTTTGGATCGACTGGTGCTGGAAGAGCGGGACGCCAGGGTTCGTGCGCGGAATGTCAATGAGAATCTATTGCCGAGCATCAGTCGCATGCAGGTGCGCACACGGGATGGATACCTGGTGCAGCGTCTCCTGCTCCTTCATGCCACGGTCCGTGTCGGGGATGTAGTAAAACTGGCGAAGGAGCTCGCCGTACTCGGCACGCTTGCGCTGGAGCATGGCATCGCGCCGATCTTTGTGCGACGGCACGTAGCTCAAAAGAAGCTTCCACACGAGCGGTCGAAACTCGACGGGCACGCCGCCCCAGCTGAGCTCGCGTAGCTTCTCGAGGTCCACCGAGTCTTGCTTGTCGTTCTTAAGGAGCGTCGCGAACTGCTCCGAGCGCAAGTTACCCGCGGCATTGCGCGGCCCGAGGCCCGTGGCCACGGCGTCTTTGGCCGGCGACTTGGTCGCGGGCAGGCCCTTTGGAATCGGCGGCGGCGTCGCCCACACCGGCGGCAGCTGTGCATTGCAGAACGGCGAGGCCTTGACGCTGCCTGGCAGCGGCGGGTGCTGGCTCGAGCCCGACTTTTTGCGGCCAAAAAAGCCCGTCGACGCCGACGACGCAGCTTGGAGGAAGTGCGACCCGCCGCCATGCTTCTCCTTCTTCCCAAGCTTGTGGAGCGCCGATTTGAACATGCTCGCCTTCGGGCTCGTCTCCTACGCCATGATGCTACGGCGCCGCTCATGCAGGCGAAGGCCGTACCTGCGGCGTGGCTATCGAGGACGCATTCGCCGTCGCGTTCTCACGGTTGTCCATCGGGAAAGCTCTAGTGTCATCTCTCGTCACTCGTCCATTTAATACCGAACGCCTCGTCAATACGGACGCCAAATTCCTGTCCGTTTTATGCGTATACAAACAATGAGATAAACTAATGATTTGCAACTGCAAAGTCTGTGAACCGAGGTGTATTTTAAAGATCGCTCGGCGATTCTGGGTGCCGGCCGGATTCCAAAAGGATAATTTTAGCGCTGCAACCGGTTAGTGCGCCGAAAAACGACCGCTCGTTGCCGACTACGATAACCGAAGAAGCTTAGCGGTTAGCCGTGGCGATGATGCGCTTGAGCCGGTTCGACATCTGGAACCGGATTGCCGCCACGAGCCATTCATCATCAATCCACGCGATCGTCCAGGTAGAGAGATGCAAGCGACGTCGTGAGGTTGACAGTGAGAATGTATAGCGATGAGCGACGACATGGAGCTGCTGCCGCGCACGCACTCGGACTTTGCCCGCAAGGAGTACTGGGACGAGTTCTTCACCAAGCGCCAGGAGAAGGCCTTCGAGTGGTACGGGCAGTACGCCCACATGCGCCCCGTGCTCAAGACGCTCGTCAAGCCGTCGGACCGCATCCTCGTCGTCGGCTGCGGTAACTCGGACCTGAGTCCTCTCTGGGCGCAGGACGGCTACAAGCACATGACGTCCATGGACTTTTCCGAGCTCGTCATTGCCGAGATGAAGCAGAAGCACCCCAAGATGACGTGGGATGTCATGGACATGACCAAGATGACGTATGCGAATGGCAGCTTCGACTGCATCATGGACAAGGGCGCTCTCGATGCGCTCATGGCGACGGACGACGCGCCAGGTAGACTCCGCATCGCATCCTCTTCTCGCTCATGCTTCTCGCGGATAGTGCTGGCGAGCGCGCTCGAGATGTTCAAGGAGGTCGACCGCACGCTGGCCGTGAACGGCTCGTACATTTGCGTGACGATGGCCCAGGACTTTATTATCCAGCACCTCCTCACGACGTTCGCCGAGACATTTCCCAACTACAAGATCTCGGCCATCGACGTGCGTAGATGTCGATGATGGATGTGTCTAACCTTCGACTGTCTGCAGGTCCCCAAGGATGCCAAGAGCAACACGCCGTTCACGCCCTTCTTCATCGTCTGCACCAAGCAAGCGGCGCCGATCCCGATGGCCAAGTACAACGGCAAGATGTTTCACGACAGCGATGCCAGCGCGCGCAAAGCGTGGCTCCTCCACGAGATCGAAGCCACGCAGTGGTACTCCATGTCGCAGCTCGAGCTCAAGAAGGTCCACGTCGGCCGGCAACGCGTCATCGAGCTCATGACGAGCGCGTCGACGGGTCTCAACACGACGCCGCGCTACTCGATCCGCCTCGTCGACGTCCACGCGCAAGGCCCGAACGGCACGTGCGGCGTCTTCCTCGTGCCCCAGGGCCGCGAGCACGAGTACCTCTTTGCGACCGAGGAGGGCGCGATGGAACTCGCGTCCGGCGCCGGCTTCTCGCGCTTCCTTATCGTGAGCCTCGGCCGCACGCATACGTTTGAGAGCTTGGAGGCGGTCCAGCTCGAGCTCAACCCCAAGATCATGGAGCTGAGCCCCGAGAGTCTTGGTCGCAACGAGAAGATCCCGTACATGACGGTGCAGGAGGGCCTTGGCCAGCGCCAGGTGGTGGCCCAAGGCACGTCGGCGCTCAGTGGCGACTACTTTATCGAAGAGGTCGAGAGCCACCGCCGCCTCGTCTTTCTCAGCAACAGCAACACGATCCAGACCGAGATTTTGCTCTTGCCCGCGCTCACGGGTATGTACATGGATTCGACTCGATACTTATGCAAGGATTTGTATAGCCAAGCAGCTCAAGGCCAAGAAGAAGAAGGCGGCGTCGACCCGCGTCCGGTTTGACCCGACGTACCTCGGGTTTGAGTACCACAAGAGCATGGCGGCGCTCCTCAAGACGCACACCGAGTTGCACCCGGTGGTGACGCAGAAGCACCGCAGTCTCCTTGTCGGTCTCGGCGGCGGCGCCCTCGCCAGCTACGTGCAGGCCACGATGCCGTCTGTGGCACTGACCGCCGTCGAGCTCGACCCGACAATCGTCGAGATTGCGACCACGTATTTTGGCCTGATGACCAACAGCAACCTCCAAGTCATCACGGACGACGGTTTGGCCGTCCTCGCTGCCGCCGGTACTCCTCTTCGTTTGCAGCTTCAATACCCACCCGTGGCTTGTAGCGCCCGCGTCCTACGACTCGATCCTGATCGATGTCGATGCCAAGACGGCCGACGAAAAGGCGGCTGGCATCACGTGTCCGCCGCTGACGTTCTTGACGCCGTCGTCGCTTGCGGTATGCAAAGGTCCAGCGAAACAGATATATACTGGCGTGTAGGCGATGCACGCGGCGCTTTGTGAGAACGGTGTGCTCCTTCTCAACGTCTCGTGCCGGTCCAGCGCCATGTACAAGGACGTCTTGTCGCGCCTGCGCACCGCCTTTGGTGCGTCGCCGGTGCTGGAGCTTCGCGCGTCCGAACAAGATGTCAACCGCATCGTGGTCGTCTCCAAGGGCCAGGCGACGGACCTCGCGGCGTGGCGCAAGCCGCTGCTGAGCGCAAACTGCCCGATGCTGCCGGGCTTTGACGAGGACGAGCTCGCGGACCTCCTCGGGCTCCTCGACGTGGCCGACGACGAGGCGTAATACGATCGATGCACTGCTGCTGCTTGTTGCTTCTGGGAACAGCGCAGACAACCGATAGAATATGGTGCTTGCTATATATTGGTTGGTGTACATGGCAAGTGGCGGGTGCTAGACGTGCATGAACGTGTGCGGGTGCGCGTGTTCCAAGAAGCGCTGCATGATGGCGCCAATGACGAGCGCGAGCGTGCACAGCACGAGCGTCACCGTGTTGATGAGCAGTTCGTTCCACACGACGTAGCAGCCGACGCAGAGCGGTAGCACCATCGCGATTGCCAGGTTTTGATCCGAGAGCGCGACTAGTAGCAACGGAATCAAGATGATGTTTCCATGTGCCTGGATACATTGATGGGATTACCTTTGTACGGACGGTCAATCTCGGGGTGCGTGTAGCGCATGCGCACGGCGGCACAAATCTCCACGACGCTCGCGAGCGCGTTGAGAAAGTTGTCGACGCCCAGAATCGTCTCAAAGTCAAAGAGGCACATGACCACAATGATCGAGAACGACAGAAAGATCGACCGGCGGGGCACGCCGTTGGGGCCATGGCGCCTACGCAGTCGGATGAGCCTCAGAAAACTATCAAAGTATCAACGACGTACACGGCGAAGAACGACGGCGCGAGACCCGAGTCGGCCATGCCCGCGAGCTGGAACCCGTCTTTGGTCATCTCGGCTATGTACAAGCCCAGGTTGCCGAAGAAGTTGGAAATCAACACCCAGACGCAGAGCCAGACGCCTACAGATACCGTGAGCATGCGACGACGACGACGATATAGGCTTACCGCCAATGCCTTGGGCGATCTGCGAGTACGAGCCGTCGGTCCATGTCGTGTAGTGAGGCTTGTCAGCGCCCGAGATGGCGACGAACGGGATGATGTACGTGAACGCAATGAGCACAACTGTGAGCATCATGGCTTTGGGATACGTGCGCTTCGGGTCCTGGATCTCGCCCGCGTAGGCGCCGGCCGCGTCAAAGCCAGAGTAGTTCCAGTACAGGACGCTGATGAGTTGGGTCCAGTTGCGCTATGACATGCTCGTTCGTCGCCTGCGTCGTGCATGTCGATAGAGAAAAATACCTCGTCCGAAATGACAAACCAGTTGGACGGCTCGATCTGCGGAATGGCGACAAACACCATGACGAGGAAAGGCATCGCGACGATGATGGCAAGGAAGAGCATCGTGTTGCCGACCATCTTGATGCTCGTGAGGGTCGGGATCATAAACAAGATGGCGATCGCGACGCGCGCGCCAAACTTGGTGCCGAACGAGAGCCCGTCGTCGCCGCCGTCGCCGTCGAGGTTGCCGTTGAGAAGGCCAAAGAGCGAGTCGACAATGAGGCACGGATAAATCGCATTGTCAATGACGCCGGCGACCCACGACCAGTAGCCGACGTGGAAGCCCATGGGGCGGCCAAAGGCCATGCCGACCCATGTACAAAAGCTCGAGTCGGTCGGGAAGGCGCTAAAGAGCTCGGCGTAGACGAGGGCCAATGGCATGCACCAGATCCACGGGAAGATCGAGACCGCGAGGATCCCGATGAGCGGCCCGCACGACGCGATGATGGGCTCGCTGCCCCACGGGCCGCCCGACACGTTGAAATACGTGATGAGCGCCACGGGCAGGATCCCGAGCTGGCGCCGGCTCGTCGACGGCCGGCGCAAAATCGGGTCCTTCTCTACATCGGTGTGGATCGTCATGGTGTTGATACGGCTGACGACGCTGCTGCTGCTGCTTCTGCTGCTGCCACTGGCCCTGGTCTCCTCTCGACGTCAAAGTTCGATTTGTCGAAACCACAGAAGGTCCGAGGATCCGGATACGGGCGCGCCAAACCCAGGTTTTCACGGTCACCCGACAACCGCGCCTCCAGTCCTTCGCCGTTCCAGCACCAAATCGGTCCTAAACGCCGGCCTCCTGCCCGTGCATGGCCGCACAGACCGCGTTCCCTCGTCCAGGTCACTGGACCACGCTGGCCCTGGCCTTGGCAACGTCCGTGACAGCGGCCCTGCGACACGGCGGCGCCGTATCCGGACGCACCGGCCGGGGATGCGCAGCTGCAACGGGTTTGGAGCTTGCACGCGACTGGCGACAACGTATGCTGCGGTCCAGTGACGCACCGGCCGCACTGTGGACGCCTGTATATCGTCTGCAACGCGGCGGTCACGTGACCGCGCGTATCCGGCTGAATTCGCGATCACCTCGCAGCGCCCGGCGCCGCTTTCGCGGACCTTTCCGCGCGGTCGATGATAGCATCCGGATAGCGTGCGCTGACGTGATGATCCGGATAAAAGAGTGTCGCCCAATCACCGTTGGTGGCCGTTGGCATTACGCTCGCAATCAAAAGCCTGCGGCAGAGGAAGCAGCAGGACCATGGAGCAAGCTTGGCTCATCGCGCCCATGGTGGTCGTCGCGCTCATCATCCCGTTCGTCTTCATCTGGGCGACATGGGACCACGACCTCTTCCGCCAGTACGGCGACGAAGATGGTGTAGCTTCCTAATCGATGATCCTGCGTAGGCTGCCCATGCTGCCGGGTCCGCTCGACCGCGGGTCCAAGGAGTTCAAGATTCGCTGCGCCATCTCGAGCCATGTGCGCCGAGGCTGGAACTCGCGCGAGCGCATGCTGCAGCCCTGCCCGCGCGTGACGCTGCAGACCAAGTTTTACATTTTGGACCAGGAAATCTCGAGCGTGCGGGCGGCCTTGGGCGCGCCGGCCAAAGACATTACGGCCGTGCCCCTCATGTTTCCCCAGGTAATACGCATCCCAATGTAGCACATGTGACCACCTTTGCACAGATTCTCTGCGGTCACCTCTTGGTGCAACTGCTCGGCAACTCGCACTTTCCGACGCGCGTCGACACGATGGTGTGGAAGCGCCTGCACGTGACGCAGCTGCGTCGCATCGCTGTCGACGAAGAGCTCAACGTACGACGACGCCTCTCTCATCGTGCTCCCTCATGGACGCGTCGATTCTAGTGCCTCATGGCGCTCATCAGCAAGGTGTTTACGCCCGAGGGCATCGAGTTTACAGTGCAAACCGACCTCTTTGACGACGAGTCGGTCGTGTGGCAGTCATCGCTGTACTTTATCGTGCCCCACACGATCCCGGCCAAGCAAGCGATTCCCGTCAAGGGTCCGTCCAACCCGATCGATCCGGAACTCCTCAAGACGGCGATGGACCAGCCGCGCCGCCGCTTCCCGCTCAACTGCTCCAAGGAACGCCTCGTCGACTTTGACAAGGTACGTCATGCATGCATCGCGCAGATGCTGCATCCGAGGGGCTAGGGCGGCGCCGTCGACGTGGAGCAGCTGTCTCTTTTTTCGACACCCGAGCCGCGCGCGACGTTCTTGTGGATGGCAGCCGCTGCGACGTCGACCATCGAGCAGCATCAGGGTAGTACTCGCATGTCTTGTGCCATCGCCAGTGCTGAGCAAATGGCGTAGGCGACAACCTCACGTACCCGATCGCCTGCCATTGCTCGCTCGAGACGCCGCTGACCGAGCTCCCGCGGGTGCCGACGTTGCACTGCGATGTGTTTGCCAAGAAGGAGGCCGAGCGCGGCCTCATTGGCTTCAGCGTCGGCCTCGAGTCCAAGGCGGTGCTCTCGGGCTACATGCGCTCGGTGGGCTGGAAGTACACGGAAGAGGCCATTGAACAGATTGTCGACGTCTAAGAAACCGATCGGAGGTGCTTTGACACTACTGTTTGCAATTTTGTTATGGCGCCAAGAGCATGTAGCTGGGGTAGCGCAGGCGAAGCGACGCGAGCTGCGCGAACGCGGGCAGGATCTCCTGCACGACCGCGTCGTCGGTCGCTGCCCACGCGTGGCGCGTCCACTTCCAGACAAAGGCTTGGCCGCAGACGCGGGCGGCGACGACAACCGCGTCGTCGAGGTCCTGCGGCACCACCGCCGCATTGGGCGGAAATCGAAGCAAGTAGCCCGCAGTAGCAAACGACCCGAGACGAAACTCGCTACAATTCACACTCGGATGGGTTGGACCGTGTGCGATGTCTACCAGGTCAAGAGCGAGCCCTCGTGGAAGGCCCGGAGCGCGGCTTCCATGTCCAGGACGTCGGCGGTGGGAGCGAGCGTCTAATACAAGCTCGCGATAAGGACGGGAAGGCGTGACGGGTTGGACCTCCGAGTGGTCGAGGAAAGCCTGCGGGTTAAGTGGCGCAAGGCCGTAGACGACACCGCCGACATCGACAAACGACAGTGGCAGCTCGGCGTAGCGGTGGGCTGGCAGCGCCGTCTCGCGCCGATGCCACACGATGTCCAAGTCGTTGTCGGGCGAACGTGCACGACTACGCCTTGTATGTAAAGCGATAGGCTTGGCATCTCGAAATCGACGACCTGTCTCAAGGAGGCGCTGGCGCAGGAGCTGGGCATCGATGGTCTCTGGGTGTTGCAGCACCTGCACGGACACGTCATTGCACTGTGACGCGATGGCGCCGTACTAGTACCCGCGATTGTTGGCTCGCCGCTTGCAGCGGCGTCGGCGTCGTGAGCAGTGCCACGTACATGGCGGCGAGCGCAACGACGAGCGAGACGAGGCCGCCGAGAAGGGTGACGCACCGATCGTTGCTGTCCTCTTCGTCCTCCGTGTCACTGTCGTCGTCTTGTGGCGCTGATCTGTCGAGGGGCTCCGTGTCGCGGGCGCGATGTCGGCACGCGACCTTTCCCACCGAGAGCATCCTGGATCTTATCTCATGTCCATCCTCGGCACAACGCACAAAGGAAGGAAGAGAAGGGTAATATTACTAAGGTGATGATGGATGTACTATCTACGCGTTGATGAGCTTCTCCGAGATCGAGAGCTGGGCCTGCGTCAAGCTCGAGAGATACGAGACCATGAGGAGGTCCTGCATGCCGTTGTTGAAAATCTGGTCGAAGACATCGGCGTGCATCGGCGGGATCGACGCGACAGCTTCGGCGAGCTCGCGGCCGAGCTTCGGGTTGGCCGCCTGCTTGCCCGCGACGACGTCGCCGACGTACGCAGCGCTGGTCGCAAGGAGCTCGTGAAGGCGCACGATGGCCTGCTCGAGGGCCTCAAGGTCCGACGGCAACGATGCCGAGCCCGACGAGCGCTTGGCCATGACGTCGAGAGCGATCGACTCGGCCTCGTACGTCTTGGTCTCGACCTTGACCTGCTTGAACTGGTTGGCGAGGGCGACGTCGGCGACCGAGAGGGCCGAGCTGATGAAGCCCATGATGTTGAGGTTGTCCGACTCGAGCGACGTGTCGACGACGACGTGGACGGGCGACGCGCACTCGGAGCTGTAAAACTCGTGGATCAAGCACGAGTTCTCGTTGATGGCCTCGGCGGTCGTCGACGTCGCGTACCAGCCGACGACGACTTCGTTCGGGTTCACGCGCTGGTGCAGAAGAAGCATCTGGCGGTGGTAGTCCTTGCCGACCGCGACCTCGTCGCCCTTCTCGAGGTGGGGCACCGGGAACGAGTTGGAGATGGTCACGACGCCGTGCTCGGCATCGACCACGCCGAGGAGCGTGCCGATCACGCGCTTCTGGTCTTCGCTGCGGCGGAGGAAGCGGTCGAGGATCTGGAAGACGACGACCGGGTGGATGTGGACGAGGGACACGCCCTCCGTGTTCAGGACCAAGCTCATGCTGCAAAGACGATGGAAAATGGACCCATGCAATCCAGTCATTTCGGCGCCGGTGGCAGACGCAAAGGCCATTGGCTACAAAACATGGCTTTTCGCTTTTTTGATTGGACGATATGCTGAAATGCCTCGTTGCAGCTGGTATTTCAGCCAATCCTATCCGCTCCAAGAATGCCGAAACTAAAATACTATTTGTGGCGAACACCGATTTTAAACGGCAGGCATAGTTGTCGACGCACTCACGTCGGTTTCGATGGACAATATATTCCAACGTAATGATCATCCTCACACGCATTGACTTTATTACATTCGCACAGTAGCACCTTGCTTATTCGTCGTCCTTGGCGATGGGCTTGGCCACTTCAAGACCACCGAAAAGCGGGGCATCGCTGGGCGCCGAGAGACCGCCGAAGAGCGACGTCGGCTCTGGCGACGCCACTGTTAGCGAGCCAAAGAGCGACGCCGGCGCCTCACTGGAGAGGGCGAGGCCCCCAAAAAGCGACGGGGCCGCAATCGGCTCGACAGCTGCAACCACGTCGTCTTCGTCACGAGTGACGCGGTCTTCGTCATCACGAATGACGCTTGCTTCGTCGACGTCGACGTCTTTGGTAGCAACGACAATAATGTCGTCGGCGTGGGTCTTGGCGTCTTCAAACGCGACATCGTCCGCCTCCGTTTCCACAGCCAGCGCCTCGACCATCGGTGTCTCTGCCGCCGGCTCACTCATCGCGTCAGCAAACACATCGTCGTGCACAACGAGCGTCGCCGCCACGTCGAGTTGCTCGACGACCGGCACTGACGCTTGCTCCATGTCGATCTCATCGACCGCCGACATGGGCGTGTCTTCTTGGGCCATGTACGCATTCTCCTCTTCTTCATCTGCGTGCGCATCGTGATCATCTTGGTCATCAGCATTGTCATCGTCGTCCTCTTCATCGTCCTCTTCGTCTTCCTCTTCATCGTCGTCGTCGACATCCTCGCTGGCCGACGGCGCGTCCGACGGCATGACATAGTCGCCACCCAAAAGCGCTTCGTCTACCGGCACACTCTCCTCTTCGACCTTGGTCTCTGTCGCAGCATCCGCCGAAGCTTCATTGACCACGAGACCGCCAAAGAGCGAGCCGCCCGTGACCACCGGCGCATCGGCCGACGCCAAGTTGAGCCCACCAAACAAGCTCACGGGCGCACCTGCCGGCTCGGTCGTCGTCGACGTCGGGGCAATTGAGAGACCGCCAAACAAGCTGACGGGCGCCGGTTCCGTCGTCGCCGGCGCCAACGAGAGACCACCGAATAGCGACGGAGCACTCATTGCTGGCTCCGTATTCGAGGCCACAGAGAGGCCTCCAAAGAGAGACGTCGGGGCCGCGGGCTCTTCCTCCTTTTGGATGGCAACCGGTTCGTCGATGGCGACCGGGGCGGCCACGGGCGTCGGCTTGGCTTCGTGCACCGGGGACGGAGCAGGCGCGTTCTGCGTCTCGGCATCGTCGGCGTCGTTGTCTGAGTCTTCGTCGTCCGAGTTGTCTTCGACCAAGTGCGAGCTCTGCACCGAGAGACGGCGCGGCAGCATGTCCTCGTCGTCCGGGAGGTTGGCGAGCGTGAGTTGGAGGTCCGTCTTCTGCGTCTGCGCAGCCACGAGCTCCTCATCGAGCGCCGCCGCGAGCTCGTACTCTTCTTCGGCCGTCGCGTTTTCAATCTGCTCGGCCAGCTGCTCAATCTTGTGCTGCAGCGCTTCGACCTGCTTGTGCATGTCGTTGGCGTTGAGTTTCTCCTTGAGCTCGCCTTCCTTCTCCTCGACCAAGTGCAGACGCGCGTTCCACTCTTCGAGCTCGTCGTCGAGGCGCGCCGCGAGCTCATAGTCTTCGTTCTCGGTCGCCTCATCGATCTGCGCCTCGATCGACGCAATCTTGTCCTTGATCGCTTTGCTCGTCGTGAGGTCGCCGACGGTCGCGGCCGAGACCGACCGCGCCAACGGCAGCGCGGCGTTGGGCGACTCGGACAAAGTCGCATCCGCCGTCAGCGACTCGGCGTCGTCGTCGTCGTCCTTGACGCTCTCGTCGTCCATGGGCTCCGAGAGCAACGTGAGCTCCTTCTCGGGCACCTCGGGCGGCAGCTCGGCCACGTGCGGCTCCAAATTGTACTTGTCTTCGAGGCATTCGATCTCCTGGACGACGGCCGTAAACTCCATTTGCACCAGCGTGAGCGCAACGCCGCGAAAGTCGACGCTGTCGCCGTCGTTCGTCGACCACTTCTCGCCGTCGTACTTGGCGAGCTGCCGGAGCGCACTCCGGAGGTCGACGTGCACTTGGTACAGCACGTCGAGCCACTCGAGGTCCAAATTCTTCTCCACGTCGCGCAGCTCGTCTTGCTTGGCGTGGAACTCGTCTTCGCGCACCTGAATCCGGTCTTCAATGTCCTTGATCTCCATCCCGAGCACGTCAATTTGCTCCTCGGCCGTCGCGCGGTCCTTCTCGAGCTGCTTGATGTCTTTCGAGAGCCTCGCCGCCTCCTTAAAGTTGCGCTCGGCGGCCGCCGCCTTCTTCTCCGTTTCGAGCTGCGGCAATGTCGTGCCGGCCGTCATGATGACCGTTCGGTTCGTCTGTAGCTTCTTCTTGAGATCGTCGAGCTGATGACCGAGGAGCTTGAACTGCTGCTCGGCCGCTTGCGCCGCCTCGCGCAAAGCGTGCAGCTGCGTCTCTTGCTTCTTGACGCGGTTGTCGCGGGCGTCCCGGCGCGCGTTCTGCTCGTCGGTGAGTCGCACCATGATATTCGCGATGCGGACTTCTTTCTGAACACCGAGCACGTCCTTGGCGAGCTGGCTCATCTCGGCGCTGTAGCTCGCCTTCTTGGCCGCAAACGCTTCTTGCTGCCGCCCGAGCGCCAAGTCATCCGCCTCGATCTCCTTCTTCGTCTTGAGGATGCCCTTCTCGCGCTCGACGAGTCGCTTGAGCTGGCGCGCAAACTTGTGCCGGACGGCTTGGATGCCTGCGTCGGCGGCCGCGAGGCCCGCGTCAATCTCGGTCACGTGCGCACGCGCCGCCGCGAGCTTGGCTTCGAGCTCGGCAATCTCGGCTTCGACGCTGGCTTTTTCCGCCAAAAGGCGCGTCTGCGCCTCGGTCTCGGCCGTGCACTGGGACGCAATCGACGACTCGATCTCGTGCTTCTCGCCCTCGAGGTGGCCCATGTTGACCGTCACGTGGTGCAATTCCGTTGCGATGCGCTGCTGTTCGAACGCGAACCGGCGGCGCTCGGTCGCCTTGTACGCCTTGGCGGCGGCCGAGAGCTCCGTGTACGCGGCCACACGCTCGTCTTCGCACTTTTGGATGCCTTGCAGCACGCCTTTCGTGGTGCGCACGTGGTGCACCATGAGCTTCTCGCGCTGCTTGGTGATCGCCGCGAGGTCCGTCTCGGCCTTGCGCAAGTCGCTCTGCGAGAGCATGATGCAGTGACGCACGCTGCCGATCGTTGTATTCAGTGCGTCCGCACGTTCAAAGTCCTCGTCTTCGGCCGCCTGGAGCTGCTGCGCTTCGACCGACTGCAAGTCGAGCGCATATTGGGCGAGCTGGCGCGACAACATGGCCTTTTTCTCGACGAGACGCGCGTCTTCCTGAGAGAGCTGCACGATCGCATCTCGAAAACTCTTGGACGTCGCGTCGTAGTCGCGGATGAGCTGGACGAGACGACCTTCCGGTGTCACGGGCGCGACGGCGGGCGGCTGGCGCGACGAGATCGGCTTCGGCGCTGCCGGCGACACGACGAGGCTCGGGCGCGGACTCGGCGCACTCTTGCGGTGCACGGGCGCTACTGACGTTGCGGTTGTGGGTACTGCTGCTGCTGCTGTCGTCGTCGACGAATGGGTTGTCGCCGGCGGTGTCGTTGTTGGCATGGATGTGTGGACCGGCAGAGGCATGGCGTACCCGGCAGCACCGGGCCCGACGTTGACGATCGTGAGCTGGTCCAGGAGGCCGCTGAGACTGTCGGTGGCCGAGCTAGACACCGTCATTATTTCAACCAGCAAAAATGAGGAGGTACCTCGATGAACGCGCGGTCGTCCGCGTCGGCGTCGTGCCGGTGCGGCCGGTGGATGCGCGGTGGAGTCGCCCGGGGACTTCGGGCATGACGGGGTTCACGGTGAGGCCGCTCAGCACCGAGCCTCGCGAGCGTCCGTCGTCGTCGTCCTCTCCGCGCTGCGAGCCTGTGTCCTCCGAGCCCTGCCGGTCAAAGCCAGGACGGAACGTTGGCTTCTTCTTCTTCTTGATCGGCGCGGGTGCTGGTATCGGCATCGACGCAGCGGGTGTCGACGAGACGTCGGTCGGAGCGACGTTGAGGTAGTTGAAGGTTCCTGGGCGCGGCGCACGCTGCTTCTGAACGGGTGGCTCGACAGCGGCAGGGGCGGGAGACGACGACAAGTTGAGTTGGGCGAGACTCAATGGCGCTTGGACCGGGGCCGCCGATCCGCCCAAGTCGAGGCCGTTGAACAAGCTTGCTGGCTTTGGTGCATCAACAGGTGCTGCAGACACGTCAGGCTGCTTCATGTGCATGCCACCAAAGAGCGATGGCGGTGCGGGCGACGGTGACGTGGCCGATGGGTTTCGCTGGTACGACAAGAGCGCCGGAGCGTACCCTTGCGGCTGCTGCGGCTGCGCCGGCGGCGGCGTGGCGCCATACGATGGCTTCGACTGGCCCATCGAAGGTGACGTGCTGTACGAGGCAGGGTTGTTGGGGTTCGAAAAGCCAGCGCTTTTGGCCGCGGTCGGCGGCAGGTTGAAGAAGCCGCCACCACCACCGGGTGCTGCGTCGCTAGCCGCCGGGCGGCCCCCGCCAGTGGCATTGGGAGGGCGCGAGGACTTGGCGGCCTCGTCCTTCTTGGTAAAGAGTCGACCAAGCATCCAGTCGTGCTTCGATCTTCCTCGCAGAGCCTTGAGTTGTTCCCTCCGGCCGCTGACTTAGCACGGTACGGATACGCTCAAGTGTATCCGGATGAGCCCTGGACACGTCGCGATCTAACGACTTGAATAGTGTGCGAGTAGCTACACTGCAACGTCCAGCATCCGACGCGTCGCATGGCAGTGACGCGTGGCGTCAAGTACGACCGATGCTGGTTACAGTCAGCGTGTTTTCAGTAGCGCATCGCCCTATGTCAGCAGCACACCTCCACGTCGAGCAACGTTCAGTGCTCTGAAATCCATAATAGTGTAACAACACTATAAAGCAAACGTGGGTCGAGTCGAGTGTTGGTAATGCTTTGACGACAACACCACCACCGTCCTCTTGGCGCCAAGCTGGATGAGGTGCAGGAGCTCTCGTAGCTCTATCGAGTACATATATGGTGCAGGTGCTCACACAACGGGCGTTCTCTCGTTCAGCCAACGCTCTCTCGCTTTGACCTCAGGAGACGAACCAACCGAGCCATGATGGACGTCCGATTTGTTTGCAGGTCATTTACACGTGCGTCGGGCTTGCGATGCGCTCGTACGCGTGCTGGCGCTTGGATCGGCGTACGACGCGCAGCAAGACAACGCTCACGAGCGGAACCAGCGCCAAGAGGCAGACAGACCACTCGATGTGGTGCGCGAACCGGTGGTGGTGCTTTGGGAGCCCGTGGTCGAGGAACGGAATGGCCTCGTTGGCTGCAAAGGTCTCGGTGAGCGCTGCAAGCTGCGAGTGGTTCCAGCCGCCATGGGCGTCAGACGCGTTCGATGGATGATGGCGATGGTGGTGATGGTGATGATGGTGGTTGCTCTTGCCGTGGGGGTGTTGCCAACGAGCCATTGCACGCCGTAGAGTGATCTGGTGGCGGCGTATACCTGAATGAGCAAACGATGAGGAAGGCTCCTGGTAAACGCACTTGTTGTCGGACTGACACGAATTTCCGCAGCACCTGGTCGCTTTTGGCGCCAAAGATCGCGAACTTGGTGTTCATGTCCCGTCCATAAAGAGAGAAACGCGTGTAGATTTTGAACTTGACATTCGTTCTCGTTGTCCTTGAGGTCCACTTGGCAGTGCGCATCGTGGGAGACCGTCGTACGATAAATCGTTTTTGGGGCCGAGCGCAAGGTGAAGCGAGCAATGGAATACAAGCTCGTGCAACCTCTTGGCCCGTTCTGTAGCACTACAAAGAAGAGACGTGTTGGCTCTCGACATAGTCAAATGCGCAGTGATGCTGATTTGGTGGATGCACACCTCATACGACGTAATGGCACGACGCAAGAGCAATGAAACCCTTTGATTGGATGCATGTTCGAGACCACCATCGAGTCCAAGATCAATCTTCGGTCACTTTGCCTGTAGCAAGCCACCACATGTCGCCCGAAGGCAAATGCAAATATCCTTGCAGCTTCTTTGGCAAGTCACGCTCACAGAACGAGATACATCGTTTGGGCTTCGGGCGTTGACAGGACGAAGCTCGCGGGGTCGCGATCTAGACAAATATGCATTTTGACACCGCACATATTTAAGCCAATCATACGCGTTTGTGGGAAAAAGCAACATTTTAGCCAATGGCCTATCGCGAGGTGGTTGGTCGCGAGCAGCAGGACGTATTCCCAGTTTGGTCAAGACGACGATGCTGCGCCGTGTCCTTAGCGTGCCCGCGCCCTTCGCCGCCCGGTGCATATCCTCGACGCCGATCGCCTATGGCATCGTCAAGCAGGAGGGCGTGCCCAACAAGCAGAACATGGCCAAGCGCGCGATGCCCGAGAAGCTCGACGGCACGATCGACCAGTTCTTCCCGACCATGTCGGTCGTCGACGGCAAGCCCGTGAAGCGCGTGGCGCCTGTTGTTGGCGGCGACTGGAAGGCGTGGATGCTCCGCAACAAGTCGACGGAGGATTTGCACAAGCTCTGGTACGTCTTGCTCAAGGAGCGCAACGCGCTCTTGACCGAGCAGGCCGAGTGCAGCTCGCGCAACCTGGCGTTCCCGAACCCGTTCCGCAAGTCCAAGGTGCGCAAGTCCATGGCGCGCATCAAGCTCGTCTTGCACGAACGCAGCCTCATCCACCAGGCCAACCTGGCCGCGAAGCAAGAATAGACGCACAAGTTGTGCTTAGGACAGACTAGTGGACGTCGGTAACTTTTTTTCATTCACAGTACGGGCGCTCCTACTACGTCGTCGACCTTTGGGTGCGCCAGTCGCAGCCGAGACGCGAACAGAAACGCGTGGAACGTCGACTGGCGCAGCGCCACGAGCTCAGCGTGCGACTTGTTGGGCCGCGAGATGAAGCGCAGACCCATGCGCCCCGTCGTCGGAATGCTCGAGGACGTGAACATGGAGTAGATGCTGAGCCCGAGCTTGATGCTGGCGTCGTCGAGCTTGATCAAGTCCAGCGGGTCGTTGGAAATCATCTCGACGAGCGTTCGCACCAGTACCTAGAACGTAGTGGTCTTTAGCTCCGCATGCGATGGCTGTCCACGGACCCGATTGTCCCATTCGGTCATGCCCAAGTCGAAGTCCATATCCACGTTGAGCGGGTTGAGTGTGTTGAGGTATCCGAGGGCGGTAAACATCTATTTGCACGTCACTTTGCATGGTCATCAGCGAGTGCGCCGACCTGCTTGCGGTCCGCAGGAAGGAGCTTCTCGTACACCACGTCAAAGTTCTCCATATCGAAAATGTACCGGTGCGCGGCCAAGACGACCTATTTGGATACGACGTTGATCGATGCCATACTGCTTGCGTCGCACCTTGAGCCGAAGGCCGTCGACGGTCGGCGGAAAGTACTGCATGATCATGCGCACGTGCGTCGTCTTGACAAAGGTACCGGCGAGCGCATGCTGCAGTAGAAGCACTTGGCGCTTCATGTCGAGGCGCTTGTGCGATGGCACATAGTCGGACGAGAGCTCGGCGTGAATGCGCTGGAGCATCCCGTACACCGCACTCTCGTCGAGGACGACGACGGTCTCTTGCGCATCTTCGGGGCGCGTCGTCGAGACATAGTCAAACTCGAGCGTGCCTTTAATCGGCAGTTTGTCGTAAAAGCGGTCCGTAATCTACGAACAGACACTATGTTAAAGTAGACCAAACGCAATCGTTGCCTCGAGCGCGTGGCCGTTGAACTTTTCGTTGCGAAAGTTGCCAAAGGTGCCGCGCTGGCTCGTGTTGCCACGCAAGCGCGGGCAGGCGCGCATGCTGCGACTGGCCTCGGCGCGGTTGAGCATCGCGAACCAGAGCGCGAGCTTGCGGTGCACGCGGTTGGCCAAGTCGAGCGTGTAGCGTCCCGTCGGGTTGTCCGGATTGAACTGCAGCACAAGGACGCCATGCGACGCGAGGAGGCGGTTCATGTTCTGGAAGCTCAGATGCGCGAGCAGGAACGACAGAATGCCGCACCCGTCCACGACCGTGTGCAAGCTCCTACGGCAACGTGAGACGAATTGCGCGCTCGTGGGATGCCCACCGCGCGAGGATTTCGACGACATCGAGCGCGCTCTGGAGCTGCGTCACGATGAGCTCGAGATGCGCGAGGCTCAAAAACATATCAAACGTCGCAATCTACCCACGGTGACGTCAAGGGCTTCGTACAAGCAGCTTCGTACCTCGAGCATCGCGCACATTTCTCGCGTCGAGATGCGGTCCTTGATGACCTTGACGACGTTGGTGAGGCCGTCGGTCGTCACGTCCGCGCTCACGCCGATCGTCGGCGGTACAAAGCGCGCTGCGACGTGCAGCAGGCCTTGCTTGGGCGAGATGTCAAACACGCTGCCGCCGCCTTTACTCACAAGGGCCTTTCTCGCTGCGTCAAATTCAAGCTCCACTTTGGTCTTGCCGCCGTCGGGCGAGAACCACACGTCGTAGAGCTCGCAGCGCGCGCGGGCGGCCGCGGTCACGAGCTCGCACGCAATGACGTAATGGTACGGCGACTGCTTGAGGTCCAAGCTGTACGGGGACTGCGCCGAGGGTAGCATCGCGTCAAACACATCCGAGTCCTACGCCTCGTAGGCATCGCTGCAAGGAGAGGAGAGCATCGTACGTTGCTGTCGCGAAACGACAGGCCAATGTCGCAGGCGATGCCAGACGCCACCGCGTGCAGGAGCGCCTTGGTGCCGGTGCCGCCGAGGTCGTTGTTGAGAAGCCCGAGGCGCGTCAGCGTCGTGTTGTGCTGCACGGCGTAGCTGAGCGTCACGGCGGCGCGGCCCGTGAGGTTGTTGCGCGAGAGGTCGAGGGTGCGAAGCGTCGTGTTGTGCAGCAGCGCTGATGCAATTGCGTGGCCACCCGGGTCGCCAAACCGGTTCATCGAGAGGTTGAGAGTGTGAATCGATGTGTTGGACTCGAGAGCTCGCCCGATGCGCGTCGCGCCCTCGAGGCAGATTTGGTTCCAAGACAAGTCCAGATCTCTACAAAAGAATCTGAGAGGGCAACGATCCAGTAAATGTAGAATTACTGGATCGTGCACGTGGTCGCAGCCAGTGTTTCGCCGAGGAGGATGCCACCGGCCTCGCCAATCTCGTTCCCAGAGAGGTTGACGATGAACAGCGACGGGTGAATCGCGATTTCAATGGCGAGCGCGTCGATCGCATCCAATAGACGCGTTTTCGACAAGTCCAAGTCGGTTAAACTCGACGCGGCAAAGAGAAAGTCGGCCATGTGCACGCCCCCTTCTTTGCCAATCTACCCCAGGCCCCGTTCGTATCAACTTGATATTAATCAACCGCACGCACCTCGTTTTCGCTCAAATTGAGTTGGCGAAGTTCCTTGCGTCCGTGGAGGAGCTGGAGAATGACCGAGACCGCGGCTTGGGTGAGCCGATTGTCGGCGAGGTTGAGAGCATAAATCGACGGCAGCGAGGCCAAGCTACGACGCATTTCGTAGTCGCGAGGGCGAACATGGGAATGGAAGTCGCCACCTCTTGGCGAGCGCAATGGCTTTGGTATCGCCGAGGCCAAAGTGGCGCAGGTCCAGCGCTCGGTCCGGACTGATGCGTGCGAGGAGCGGCTCGGGCACGATCTGCTCGTTCGCGCACTCGTCGAAGAAGAGAGTTCGGGGCGTGACGCTGTCGACAAAGGTACCCGGCGGCAGCTTCTTTCTGCTTGGCTTGGGCAAAACGACGCGGCCATCCAGTAGTATTGGGACCTTGTGGTTCCGGCTGTCTTGGAGCTTGGCCCACTTGGAGAGAAGGACGTGCTATGTTGCGTGGGTTCACATCCGCAGCCTCCGGCGAAAGACCCACCTTGTCCGAGTAGAGCGCGGTCTTGCCGGCCTCGGTGGTCTGCTTCGCGAGTGCTCGCAGCTTCCTACGCACGACACATTTACACGAGCGACGCAAGATGCTTGCTTGCCGTCGCGTCTTGCCGGTCCGCTGAATGTCATAATGCGCCTACCACATTATATCCCCTCGATGAGCGTGCAGAGGTTGCAACGTGGCGGCGGGCGTCGTACGGTGGTCGACCCACTGTTCTCACGCTCGTCGGGGTCGTGCACAAGGTACTGGGGAAATGCTAAGCCTCTTTGATGGACAGCGTGACAGACCGCGGTGGGCCGACGGGCGATCGCGTGGCGGCGCTCGAGAGGCGACGGCTCGGGCGGTCCATCGGGCTCGATCGTCATCAACTAGTCGCCGTCAGTCGAATTATGGACTCCAACCCACTCGCTCATGCAAGCACGCACGGGCGACCGGAGCATGCACTCGGCGACTTGGAGTTTCCGGTCAAAGACCCAGCGCGTCCGCTCGGCGTCGGTGAGGCGCTCGTGCCCGGCGACCGCGTCGGCCTCGGACGCATTTTGCGTCTGTTTCTTGGCCGTCCATTGCAGTCGCGACACGTGCAACCGCGCCTCGTCCGTCTCGTGGCCTTCGAGGTTGAGGCTCGGATACTACAAAGCACGATCCAAACCATCGAGCAAGACGATGATGATTGACGCACCATAAACTTGGCAATGTCATCGACCACGACGCTCCACTCGTTCGAGGCCGTCGAGAGCGTCGCCAGCTTGACGTTGTGCGTCGGGAGGCGCGTCGGATTCTTCTGCTCCGTCGCGATGGTGGTCGTCGTCGGCACGGTCGACGCACGCGCCGTGACGTCTTTGGCGCGCTGCGCGTGCTTGGAGAAGATCGGCTTGAGCTTGGCCAAGCACGCGAGCCCGAGCTTCGAGTTGGGCTGGAGCTTGCCCGAGACGCTCTCCGACTCGGGCTCGGTCTTGGCGCGGTGGCCCATGTGAGCGTTTCGGCAACGGTTGGGGACTTGTATCAAGCGGCAGTCCTACGAGGATCGGCACCCAAGACGGTGCGATGGAGCTATGCTACGGATGCATTGGCGACGACGAGCGCACTCCATCGCTGCTGCGCGAAGCGAACGGATGCCACGCGCAAGTCGGTCATCGTCGACTTGAACACGGCTACAGATGCCAACGGCTAGGACCGATGGCGATCACGACTTGTGTCTCGTACTGGCAGCCCGTGCGAGTGCGGCTTTGGCTTACGCAAGCGACGACGGTGATGAAACAAGACGCAGGTGTATTACGGCAAATGTAGAACTTAGTGGTTGAGCGTCTGGACAAACTCGTAAAAGGCAAACTCGGGGCAGTTGAGGCCGCACGAGTAGACGAAGCGGCTCGCGAGCTGCGACGCGAAGAGCGCGCGGAGGTACGACTCGGGGAGGCGCTTGAGGAGCTCGTCGTACGAGATCTTGGCCTGGAGCGTCTTGGGGAAGCCGTCCTTGAGGATCACGTCACGCAGCGCCTTTTGCTCGTACAGCGACGAGTCCTGGATCGTGACGCTGAGGTCCGTGATGCGCTCCGAGAGCAAGTTGGTCAAGATCGCGTACGGCGTCGGCGTGCGCTGGTGCTCGCGCCAGAGGCACTCGAACTCCTTCGTCGCGTTGTTGTCGATGCGCGTCTGCACCTCCGCGACATACGCCTGGTAGAACGCGGGCTTGGGCTTGCCGGCCGTGACCGCCATGTGCTCGCCAAACTCGGCGTCCGTCATCGAGAGAGCAGCCATGACCTCGAGCGACGACGAGGTGACGCCGCCCTTGTTGGCCGACGCATCCTTAAAGAGGACAACGCCGGCCTTCTCGAGGACGAGGCGCGCGTCCTGCGTGAAGAAGAGGTTGGCGCCCTCCACAATGTACTTAAAGCGAAGCGTCTTGCCGTCGGCCTGGTACATAAAGTTGGTCACGTTGCTGAGGTTGACGGCCGCCGGGCGACCGCCGCACGGCACGAAAAAGTCGGCCGTGACGTCCGAACGGTTGTGGAAGTTGTTGCGGAACTGCGTGCCGTTCTCGACGACCTCGCCCGACGGGAGCTTGACGTCGTTCTGCGAGATGAGGACGAGGTACCCGTCCTTGGAGAGGAGCGACTTGTTGAAGCCCTCGACCGGCGACCGGGCCTTGGCGAGGCGCACCAGCTCGGCGCGGTTGATGCCGTTGGGGTCGTAGAGCACGCCCGAGCCGTCGACGACCGCGATAGTGTCCTCGCCCTCGCTCATCAGAATCTCGTTCGAGCCGAGATCGCCGTCCGGGCCACCGGTCTGCACCTTGGTGAGGCGCTTTGCACCGGCCGCCTTGAGGTTGAGCTTGGACTGGATGCCCGTGACAAACTGGCGCACCGAGTGCGTCGTCATGCCATACTCGTCGTGGGGAATACCACCGCGCGACGGCGACTTGCCCGTCGTGATGGCCTTCCAGTACGAGTAGCCGCGCGACTTGGCGTACGACGACGCCCAGTCCATGAGGTGGGCCGTGCCCTCATCGGGGCCGAGGAAGAGGATGTCTTCCTGGGCGCGCACGATGCCGTCGTTCTCCGGGAGCATGATGTCGAGAAGCGCGTCAATGTACTTCTTGAACGCGAGGTCGGCCTTGTCCTGGTGCGCGAGGTTGAGGAGCACGACGCCCTTCGAGCCGCCTTCCGGGATGTCCTTGTTCTTGCGCTGCTGCGTCGACGCGAGGCCGTAACCCTCGTCAAAGCACGACGAGACGTTGTTCAGGTACACCTGCGCGTGCGACGAGCGGATCATGCGGATACCGCCGCGGGCAATGTCGAGGAAGCGGGTGTGGAAGCCGCGGAACTCGGAGCCGATGACGAAGATGACCGCGAACGGCTTCTCCCGGTACTCGGTCGACGGGAGGAACTCGCCGTCGAGGCGGAACGCGAGCGCCGACTTTTGCTTGCGGAAAAAGTTGGTGTGCTGGACGTGGTGGTTGAAGGCGACGAACTGCGAGAAGACCGTGAGCGCCTGCTCGGACGAGACGGCCTTGCGCAGCACCGAGAGCGTGTCGGCGCGCTTGCGGTCGCGGTTCTTGCTCGCGGGCGAGTGGAGCGCCTCGAACTCTTCGTACAAGGTCTTGACAAGCGCGGGCGACGCGAGAATGTGGTCGAGGATCTGCGCTTCCGTGAACGTGTTCTGCTTCATCGCCGAGCGGAGCTGCTCGAGGCGCGCGAACGCGACCGAGTCGCGGTCACGGAGCGAGTCCGAGACGACCGAGTACGCCTCCGGGAGACGCTGGAGGAAGTGGAACGTAAACTTCCACGCCGCGTACGCGTACGAGATCTGCTGCGGCGTCAAGAGGTGGTCGCGGAGCATCGGCGAGAGCGACGTGCGCGGGAGCACGTAGTGGAGCGACGCATCCGACAAGCACGCCGCGACGCGCTCCTCGAAGGTGCCCGTGCCCTTGGCGTTGCACTCGAGCTGCTGGAGGTAGAAGCCGTACACAACGTAGCCGTTCGAGAAGTACTCGGCGTACTTGCGCGACGAGAAGAGACCGTGGCCACGGTAGACATCGGCTAGCGACGAGAAGTAGCTGTGCGTCGAGCCAGCCTTGAAGCAGACGGTAAGGCGCGCCATCTTGGTGTTGTCGGGCTCGAGCCACACTTCGGTGTGGAACGCCGGCGTCATCTGGCTCGCGGCCGTCTTGAGGACTTCCTGGTAGACCTTCTTAAGGTTGGGGCCCGAGCGCTCGAGGAAGCTCTTGTCGGCGATCTTGTTGATGTCCGTCTCGCCTTCGACCGGGTTGGGCACGACAAAGTTGGGCTCCTGGAGGAAGTAGAGGCGCATGTGCGACGGCACGAGCTTGGCGTCAAGGACACCGGCCGAGCGGTAGCACTGGAGGCGGTACTGGCGGATCTTGGCGGCCTCGGTTTGCTCGAGGTGCTGGTAACCCGTCTTGACACCGTCGCCAATGCACTCGGTCGACGAGTTGAGGTACTCCTTCTCGATGAAGCGCTCGAGGTTGGCGACCTCGTTCGAGTTCATCGTGCGCGTCGTGCGCGTCTCGTCGCCCTGCACGTTGGAGCGCGTGGCGAAGAAGGCCGACTTGGCGTTCTCCTGCACGAGCTTGAACTCTTGGTCCTGGCCCGACGTCTTGGTGAGGATCTTGGCCGCGAGGAGCGACTTGATGTGCGACGCGATCACTTCGGGCGAGTGGCCAAGGAAGTAGAACTCGTGGAGGCCGAGCGGGCCGTAGAACCACTCGACCTCGGCCTGGAGCGAGGCCGCGTTGAAGAGCGTGTCCTTGGACAGGATCGCCAGCACTTGGCTCATCTGCGCCTCGACGTCCTTGGAGCGGTAGATGCCATGCTCCATCGAGGTGCTGCGGCGCGTCTGGAGGTCCATGCTGCTGAGGTGCTGGTGGAGGCGGAAGCCAATTCGAAAATGAATCTCAAAACTGTGATCTTATCCTCGCGACGGGAGTACCGTAGGCAGCTCAAAGATCGCGCGTCGGCGAGTTTTCATATAATTTAATTGCCGCGCCCCCTCCGCATACAAACACCAAGTAGAATGCCACGTGACGGGGCACGATTAATATGAAGGCCTCGTTGTAGTCATTCCAAATGCGCCTCCTGATTGGTTGAAATCCTAATTCAAGTCTTCAGCCAATCACACGCTGCCATGTTCCAGGTACATCGCGTTCGATTGGCCCAATATGGTTGAACAACCGCTGGGACTAGGGTTCCTGGAGCTTGTTACGGGGATCAGTCGCACACATACAAATCCCAAGTGTATTTATAAGAGACAAGCCCAGTGTCTTCTGGCGCCTGCTCCGTCACCGCTCGCCCAATGAGCGGGCTCGGTCAAGTGGTTAAAGTGCGTTTAACGCAAAGCCCTGACGTGATCCGGCCATAGGTTAATCGCACGCAACTTGGCCGTCCAGTCCACCCGGACGACACGATGTACGCGGTGCTTTTGCGCATCTCGGCGACTGATCGTTTTCCTGCTAGTACTCTGCTCAATGGGTGCGTGTGGCCCTTCTTGCGTGGCGTGCGGCTAAAGGTGCGTCTGCGTCACCACGTGGTGTAAGGTAGCGTGCGACTAGCCTGTCGAGATTCGAGATACCCGGCGATAGGTGACGCGCCGACGTCACATTTGGTTTCTTGTGCGCGCCAAATCCGGGGTAGACCAATAATGTATTACGCAGACGAGGGGCGCGCCTCTTGATGACGTAGGAAAGGACGACGAGGACGTCCCTCCTGCCACATCTCTGCGTCGCCATTGCACATGCTTGCAATTGCGCAATAAGAATAAGCAACTTCAAGTCGGCACTCACTCGACATCGTATTGCATCGATGCTACTGAAAGAGCTCGGCCGGGTAATACTTGGGCTCGAGGTCTTCGCCCTCGAGGAACCGCAGCGGAAAATAGACAATATGGCCACGCACGCCGCCAAGCTCGGCCTGGCGCTGGACGCTAACGGCCGTGTGGCATCGCATCGCCGTCATCGCAAATGTAAACACTTGGCCGTTCGACTCCTTCTCGCGGTGCGAGGGGCGATGCGAGACGGACCGCGGGCGGGTCTCGTCCGGGAGCGCGACGCAGGTGCTGGCTACACATCCAGACAAAGTCTGCCACCCAACATCCTTCGCGGCTACGACCACGACGCACGTACCGCTGTCGTGCTCATCGGTTCCTCTTCGGGAAGCGTCGCCGGACGCACGTGCTCACCCTACGCGAGCAAGCAGGATGGGACCGCTCTTGCAAAACGACAGTGCATCCTACGTCGTCGAGACGCGCATGAAGCTGCTCGGGCACCTTGCGGAACGTCCCGACGCGCTCTTTCTTGTCGAGGTCCTACGCGCCGTCTTAGCTCGTCGTTCCGTCGTTTCGAGAGTACGTATTTGACGCCCATGTCCGAGAAGCAGCGGACGTCGTCGGCGGGGAGACAGCCAAAGACCGACTTGTAGTGCACCGCATTCTTCATCGCTTGGTCCTGGAACGCAAACCACGTGGCCGCGGGTACCGGGTCGCGATAGCGTTCATAGAGCGAGGTCCCGGGCGACACGCCGAAATGCTCTTCAAAGAGCTTCATGCGGAACGAGTGGCCAAAGCGCCCGACGTTCGCGCCTGTCCGCCAGTTGAAGTTGGGAAACGGCAATGTGACAGGATCGATGATATATACTACTATACCTAGCGTCGCCGACGGCAAGAATTCGGCGTCCTCGATGACGACAGCGATCTCTGAGTCGCGATCGCCGTTCATGCTCCGCTCGTTGATGTTGGCGCTATGTACAGAGGTTGATCTTGCAGCGCAATAATATTGTACACACCTGCCAATGATGCACGCACGGTCGTCGACAATCATGATTTTCGAGTGCACGTAGACTTCTTCTGTCACCGGCGTCCCGTCTTGGATCGCATGCGTGCGCAGACCAAAGAACGCAATGTACTCGAACGGATCGTCAATCTCCTTCTTGAGCCGGCGGTAGATCGAGCCTTCGCCGCGACAAATGCTGCGATACTAGGTCGCCGTGGAAAAGGGTTCACACTGGCGCAAGTCGAATTCTGTACCTGCCAGTGCATGACACCGCGCAAGCTGTACGCTTGCTTGTCTTCGGGCTTCCCTTGGAACGCGGGCAAAAGCGGCATGACGACCATGACGCGGAACGGCTCGTTCGCGGCCGCCGCGCGCAAGATGCGGGCGACGAGGGCGTTCGCGATCCGGTTCTGGCACAGCGTGTCGCCTTCGATGCCCGACACAAAGAACTGGTTCTAGCACCACACATGAGATGGCAGACGAGAGAGCACGCACGTCCACCTCGATGTAAATGAAGCTTGTTGCTGACGTGATGAGGCGGATGTACGCGGTCTGGATGCTCTTCTCGGTGGGGCACCCGCCCGACCAGAGAGAAATACTCCGGACGACCTGGACCGTACAGGGGATGCCAATTTCGTCCACGTGAGGCGACGCGACGTCCATGGACGACTCCTCCTCGAAGACGGACGCGAAGACGGGCGCGACATGAGTACTCTTGTCGGCGTCATTGTCGTCGTCTGCCACGTCAACGAGGCGGCTAAAGCCTCGATTGAGCGCTCGGCGCGGGGGCGCGGGGGACGCGACACTCGGTGGCGGCGGCGGCGCCGTTTGAGGCAAAATGTGCTCAAACTTGTAGCCCTTCACGCGCGTGCTCACCGAAAAGTTCCAGCGCTGGATAAAGTGACGGCCCACGTCCCGGGCGGGGTCGCCGAGCAGTCTACGCCTCAGTCTCACGCGGCGCTGAAGAAGAGAGATCGCCTACTGGCAATGGCAGTCGTGCCACGGCATGCGTGGGTGCGCGTGGCGGTCCATGAGGTCGACGTCCGGCTCGTTCACTTGCACAAAGTCTTTGATGCGCGGGTTGCTGTAGTCCTTGCCTAGATCATTGCGTCGACGTGGCGCTCTCGTGTCCTTTTCTACCAGGAAACGTCGTGCCCTCGTCGTCAAAGAGGGCGTGGCCTGGCGTGTCGTATCTGCCGAAGCAGAGGTCGAGGCCGCCGACGAACGCGATGTGCTGGTCGACGCACACGATCTTCTCGTGGTGCGACCACATGCCCCACTGCTTCATGATAAAGTCCGGGTCGCGCAACACGCGAATGTTGGTGTGGTGGAGACTCCGCAGCGTCTTCTTTGAGTACATGCTGTCGAGCGTCAACGCGACGCTCACTTCCTTGTACATGAGAATGTAAATCTAATACCATCGTCGTCTCCACATAACTCGCAGGAAGGGTCTGTCTACCTGGACGCCTTCGTCGGCTTTGCGCTTGAGCACGAGGTCGAGGCGCGCGTCTGGAAACATATCCGACGGCCGCTTCAAGTACGTGTTGGGGCAGATCCACCACCCCGCGATGAAGATCTCCTTGGTCGCCCGCAAGAGGCCGTCGTAAATGGCCGCGTACGCGTCATGGCCGTCGACATACCTACGCCACCCACGTCATCATTCTCCTAAGACGTCTTCGATCGGAGATGAAAACCATTGCGCGCGCGACGATTTGATCGGCCGAGGGATCGCAAACGACTCGTCGCGGTGGTTCTGGGACCACTCGCTCGCCTCCATCGACCGGCGAATCGCGTTCGCCCACTTGAGCGCGTCGTCGCGGTGACGCGCCTCGACGTGCAAGGCAAACGACGCGTTGGAGATCACGAGTGCCTTGTGCGACCCGACAAAGCGCACGCCGCGCTCGACCTTGAACTTGGCGTCAAAGAGGAGGACTTCCTTGGGCGCCTTGTCCTATAGTATCCCTTTCATAGGATGGGTTGCGAAGATGGTTACCGTACGCGGTTCGAGGCGTAAATCGCGAGGCAGCACGGCTTGAGCGCGACCCACTTCCAGTGCGTCGTCTGGTACGCGACTTTTTTGCAGACGCAGAGGCAGTTGAAGCAGCTATTGTCGCACGCGACCGCGCCGCGGTAGACACGGACGTTTTCTATCGCAACCGAGTTCGAGTGTGTGATGTATGGGATGCATACCTTGGCTGCCCTTGAGCCACGTCTTGACCTTGAGCCAGCCCTCGCGCTGCGACGTGACGCGGCCGTCGGCGTCAAAGGTGCCCGCGCTGATCTGGAAGAGCGAGAGCACGTACGCCGACGCGCGCACTTTTGGGATCGCGAACGCAGTGTTAAGATAGGCTTCGACGAGCCGCAGCATCTCGTCGCTTGTCGAGCGCTCGTGCGTCGCAAAGAAAAATACCGGAGCTGCGGCATGTCCAAGATGCCCGAGTTGGCTTTGGCCGGCGACGCAGGGCGCGGCGACGTCGGCGGCGGCGACTCCGCGACGTGGGCCATCGCGCTCATGAGGCCGTGGCTCTTGATGTAGAACCAAATGCGGTAAATGTTGCTCTTGGAGATCGACGTCTCCCAGGTCGTGTCCTTGTAGACCAACTAGAATCGCACATATCAGATCGCACGAGATCGCTCGAGACCGAGAGAGATGGAGGACCTGCACGTCGAACTCGATCGTCTTGACGGGCCAATCGTCCTCGACGCGCGCGCTCTTGATCGTGATACTGGGCGCGCTCTTGAAGACGTCGAGCGTCGGGTCCCACTCGCGGGCCGCGGGTGCCGACCCGAAGCACCACCATGGGCGCGACGCCCGCGCGGGCTTGGCCTCGTGGCCGCTGGGGTGCTGGGCCTCGTGGCACGTCACCGCCGCGTCGTCCATGGACGACATGAGTGGTCGTTATGCCAACTGCAATCTGCGTTACACCTGCGAAGCGTCGCACGACGATGGGCCACGACCTCTCCAAGCAGGCGAATCGGCTCTCGATCGCCGCCGTCTCCCACATCACGCAGTGTATTACGTCCTGTCTCTCCACGTCGCTGACTGTGTTTCTTAGTCGACCGCGACGACCTCCTCGAGCTCCGCACGTGCTTTGAAAATGCAGTTTTGGCCAAGAGCCCCAAGTCGAAGAAGCCGATTCCGCTCTCGGCGTACGCGGCCGCCAAGGACCGCGTCGAGCCGAATTTGACGCGCGCCGACTTTAACGCGGGCCTCGACCACGTGAACTTCTTTGTACTACGGCACGCCATACGCTGCGCGCTGACGTGGAGCTAGGAGTCGGACCGCGCGATCCTCGACCGCCTCTTTACGATGCTCGACAAGACGGGCGACGACGTGATCCACTACCAAGAGTTCCTCGTCGGCGTTGCGCCGCTCGTCAAAGGTGCCACCGCTCTATCTGCAAAAAACGCGTTGAACGCATCCATGGCGTAGGCAACCTCTTGTCCAAGATTGCGCGTAAACTCTTGAGATGCAATGGAGGTGGATGCAAGCCGTGTGCGATGTAGTGGCATTCGAAATGTACGACGAAGACAGCACCGGGTAAACGATGATTCTGACTGGACGTTCTACCTTCTTGACTCGATGGCGGTAGAGAGATCAACGCCAAGGGCTTTCGGTTCCTTCTGACGACAATTTCGACGGTCGGGTCCTACTTTGGCGACCCCGTCCTCTCCAAGAAGGACGTTATTGTGCTCACCAACGACATCTTTGACAACTACGACACGATCGAGTATACGAGTATATACGAACGAGCGCATGGCTCTTCGTGAAATGCTAAAGAGTCTGCTAGAGAACATCCCGCGCATCGCCCAACACGCCATCATCGAGGCGTACGTCGCCCAAGAAGGCGCCTTGTAAGCATTTTCAAATGCATGGTGTATTATGATCGCGCCCCGAGCTGTCTTTGAGCGACGCCGACTGGAGGTGGGCACTCAGCACGCGCTGCTTCTTCTTGAGCAGCTCGATGCGATTGGGGACGAGGCGCGCCGATGTACAGCCCAGCTCTAAGCCGACGACAAGGCCAGTACGCGGCACGGACGGCGGTGTGCGCTGGCGACGAGGCAGCACCGGGAGGCTACTCACATTGCGGAGGCGCTGTCCCTACCATAGACACATAGCGCCAGATGAAAGATTGAAGATTGATACAATACCCGTTCTATGGCAGGGACCTGAAGCGTCTGACGGCTCGGCGACGACTGGAGCGGCATCCGGTGGGGCTCAATGCGGGGCTAGGACCATGCATGGCACCTCGCAGGTGTTAGGATATATGGTAATGTACGTGAAGGCGTTGCGGGCTCTCGGTCAAAATCGGCTGCAGTTGCCGCCGTTGAAACTCATGTCGGAGCTCGCTGATGTCGTCCATGCACCGACGCGGCGTCGACACCTCGTCGTCGTCGAGTAGTGCTTCGTCCGTTGCGTCAAAATGGCTCACGTCAATGACGCGGTCGTCGTCACCGTGCGGATCGTGCAACCACCGGTTCTTGGAGACGGCGAGGCGACCACCAATCACGGCAAACTCGAGGTGCTCCATGTCGGGCGACTCGCGCTTCTCCAGGGGCCACTCGGTGTCGTGGCGCTGCGTCACCGAGACACCAGTGTACTCGGTTCCGTACTTGACGGGGCTCGTCCTCGGCAGCAGGTGGAAGCCTTGCGGCTCCAGCACGTACGCCGAGAGAGACCGCCTACGCCATAATGCGAGAGAAGAAGACGGGACATCGCGCACCGGTGGCTGTCCTCATCCAAGCACTCGTGCTGCGGCTTGTCGATGACGACCGGACTACTGCTGGAGGCCATTAACGACCGGTGAACTGCATGTGCCGTCGCTTTGGATGGATCCACGGGCTTGCCCGCGAGCCCTCGCGCCATCGTCCGAGCATCGTCGAGGCATTCGTGCGAGCGAATGCCAAGATTGCTTGATGGTAGTGCGTGATGTTGCTGGTTGCTACTGCTTGCTTGGAGTTTCTTGCGCTGGTCACTTGGATGCGCCTTGTTGCTCCGCTTATCGTCGCCCGTCACCAGCTGCAGAAGGTCGTCCCCCGCACCCACTGTTGCGCTCGGAGCTGATGCGAATGCGCTTGTCGTCGATGCGGCGGCGGCGGTCACCGAGATCTTGGAGGCACTCCCCATCGTGCGAACCGACTCTCCGGACGCGTCAAATCGGGCGCTGGTCGCGTGGTGGTCGTGACTGGCGTGCAGCGATGCGCCCGTCGGCTCAGACGACGACACAGCGTGCGCGTACGAGCCGGAAGCGAAGACGTCGCCTCGGGTGGCAGTCGGAAACGTTGCATGCACTGTAGCAGCGGCATGGCCACTGGGTGCTGCATTCGACCCATGCGTCGCTGCGCCTCCGTGGGGATGAAGCAATGCAGCTGTCGCGTTCGCGTGGCAACCAACGGAACTGGCCCCAAAAGGTGCGCTGCCGCCAATCGCGTGTTCGTTGTTGGCAGCACCATTGGCGTGTTGGTCGTGGTGGGGCGAGAGATCGTGGTGCGTGCTCGCCGCGTCGTTCATGTCGGACGCAAGAAACGGAGCAACGACGTTGGGGTTGCCGCTACATGCGGGGCTCGGCGTCGCCGCCGCGGTCGAAGCGAGGCCGTGGGCACGCGGTGGCGCATCGTGTGCCATGCGCTTCGACACATCGTCGCCGTTCAAGCCCATTTCTTGGCTGTATGCCAGCACATTTCGCTCGACCGACTCGGCTTGTACGTAGGTGCTTGTCGTTTTCGTTGGCGATGCAGCTGGTTTCACATGCGTCGTTGGTCCTCCCCGCTTGGTCGGGGAGATGCGCTTTGGAGCTGCCTTGCGTGCAACGTCGACCTTGCCAATGGCATGGGCTGTCGACGAAGTCGATGTCTTGGCCGTGGATTGGACTTTGCTCTTGGCGTCGCGCTTGGTGCTGCGCTCGAGCTCCTTGCCTTTGGCGAGCTCTTTCTTGGCGCGGACCTTCTCGAGCTTGGCGCGGTCCGTCGCACTGGCGTTGATAAAGATGATGTCTATGCAGGATCCACGTCGTATGCACCGACGACGACGAATGGCCTACCGTGCACATCCCGCAGGAGGTTGGAGTTGGGGAGGAAGATATTGAGCGCAATGTGCTCGAGGAAGCCAATGTAGTCGTGCACGTCGAGGCTGTCGACCCACACGTCTACACGCCGGCATCTCGGATGATCGCACGCGACGACGTACGCACCGACGAGCTGGAAGAGACTCTCAAAGAAGAGCGCGTAGCCCATCGTGTCTTGGCCCTTGCGGTCGTTGTCCCACTCGCTCTAGAAGACTCTCAGAAAAGGCGGCGATCAAAGCACGTACGGCCACCGAGGCGAGCGATGACGCGCCGTCAAACGCCGCGTCGAGGTACTTGGCAACCGAGACGTAGAACGCCATGTAGCCCTCTTTCCGGAGACACCCGAGCTCGTCGCGGTCAGCGTCAAAGGCCCAAAGCCGGCGCACGACGTCATCAATGCGCCGGTCCTTGCGAAGACTGTAGCGCAGCGCGAGGGCGTCCTGCCCAGCGATGGATCGAATACAGAGACTGGAGTGCCGTACTATGTACCTTGGAGTAGAGCTCCCGGCCGGACGCGCTCAGCATCGCCACGCGACGTCAGGTCGTTGGGACTCAAGGCGCCGCCCGCCTGGAGGAGGAGGATTCGAGACCTTCTTCCATAGAAAGACAAACCTTCTCAAGCGACTCGGTCTGCGCTTGCTGGAACTTGCGCTGCTGCACCTCGTCGAGCTGGGAGATTTTGATCGACGTCGAGAGCTTCGTCCAGAGCGCCGACGCCATCGTGGCGCGAAATACCTCGACGGTTTCGCGGCTAAAAGAGGTTAATGGCGGTAGATATATTACGGTAAAGAAGATTAACCAGCAAGTTATGAACGGAGCTACTAGTATTATATTAAGGGATGCCTAACCGAGGTAGACGCTGGGAGCGCCAGAGTGCAGCCGCCGGGATCGCCGCACAGGCACCGGTGTCAAGAGCTCGCCCTATGGCAGATATGAATATAAATTGTTGGTCGAATGGCGCACCTCGGTCGCGTAGTAGCTGCCGCGGGTGTTCTCGTCGTCGTCGTCCTCCTCCTCGAGGCTGTTAAAGTCGACTTGGTTCATGTTGCGCGTCTAGTTGCGCTGTGTGAGGACACGGAGATGGAATTCGCGTGTACGATGCGATCGAGGCCCGGCGCAGGGCGCAGTCCCGACGGCCGACGCGACGACCCAGGGTGCCGCGGCTTCTTGCGGGGCGTGAACGGATACCCGCCTTGGACTTGCTGCTCGTAGAGTACACTAAGCATCGCCAGCACAAACACGACGAAGCTGAGGCCGCCCGCAATCTGCAAAATGGACCAGCTCTCGAGGAGCCAGCGAGATGGCCGCGGAGACGTTGGCGTCGCCTTCGGGCGCGGCTTGACGGGCCGAGGGGCCGGCGCAGGGGTGGCTTGCGGCAACACGGCGGGGGTCGCGGGCGCCGGCTTCGGTTCGGTCGTTTCGATAGGTGCGGGCCGGAGCTGCACTGTGGGCAGGTC